TTTCAACTAAGAATTGTCACTTGTCATTGTTGTTTCCATTATTAAACTACAGAGATGAAGTGCATTTTGCCTTTGGTTTTAAAATTTGTCCATTCTGCTCAGCACTTAGTAGTGGCACTTTAAGATTTAATAAAATTTTTACCAAACATGGTAAATCTGAAAACTTGTACTGCTCAAGTGTTGTCCTGACTGAGTCAGGGAATGAGCAAAGGCTTTACAAAACCAGTTATTTCATCTTGATTCTCCTCAAACCATTTAACTTGAGGGTAATGAATAAGTGCCTCTGGTGGCTTTCTAGAACTACAAGTGTCTCCATTTTGGATTGAATGAATACTGCTTTTTTTCAATATTCAAGTTAAGTCAGTGCGTCTTCTAGTATAGATCTATTTAAAAAATTTATCAAGCAACACTGAAATAGATAGTTAAATATCATTTATTTAATAATCAAATTATAGCTGTTTTCTGTCTTCAAATGTAATCTTATTCGCTTTATATTAGGTCCATTTCACCTCACTTATAGTTAGGGCCTACAAAGCATGTTCCACATAAAGAATGCTTTATCAGATTAATTAAAACAATGCAGCCCTTTATTTTCACTTCATAAGTCTCTAAGCCAGGCCAGGGTGGTTCAATTGACCTTCATCAGCAGCACTCAACATTTAAGAAACTGAATGGAAAATCATAGCATCTTGATTTTTTTTTAAGTTTCCACTTTCTTAATCAAGCCAGATGGCAAATAAACTTGCAGAAATGATTTTATTCTGCCACTTAGCTCGGCATTTATCACTGTCTTATACAAATTCACTTTCTTCCCGACTTCATCATTGATTAAGTGAAGGAGTGGTTAAGTGGACTTTTGGTCTGCATAGAACACCTGCTACTTAATTTTTCTTCTGTGACCACACTGTAATAATTTTTACATCCTAAGGCATGTAGTTTTGAACCTCATAGAAAGAAATCATGTTCACTGATTAAGTGAACAGTTAATTTCAAATTGTATAGGCTTTATAAATTCATACACAGATCTGTGTTGTAGGTTCAATAGTAAAAATCAATTTTAGTGCCCCCAGTTGCTATCATTGGGGATAACAGTAAATAATCTGTTATTCACCACAGTTTATAACTAAATGGCACTTTATAAGTTATAAATTGATTTTATACATTTCTATTGTTTTCTAGGATACAGTAGATAATTCATCTTCGCATTCTCAGTGCCTATCAGGGACATTGGCACATAGTCATTGAATAGCTTACATATTGAATGTTCAACAGCTAACAGTTCTTAACCATTTTACTTTATTTATTTTTGACGGAACCGGGGATTGAACTCAGGCCCTTGTGCTTGCCAGGCAAGCGCTTATTCTACTGAGCCATCGCCCCGGCCCCTCTTAACCATTTTAGCTTTATATGTATCATATAATAGCTGTGGCACAATTTCATAAACCTGATATTTAGCACCAAATGAGAAAGTCCATAGTTATATTTATATGGTTCTTTTAAAGTCCATTGACATTAGGACACAGGTACTGCTTATTCTTAGTTGTTGTTTTGCTATGTTTTCCAGGCTGGCCTCAAGCAATCCTGGCTCAGCCTCTCAAGTGCTGGAACTAGATGTACACACCACTGAACCTAGCTGGTATAATAACTATTTTTAGTACCCTTCTCATTGCGGGGCCAGCATACAATGAGAATCTTAGAGAAAAAATGCCTATATTACAGGAAGGATTTAAGTCATACAAAAAATGTTTAATGTCTTTCAAAGTACTTTACAGGATACAGAGCACACTTGTATTCTCTTACTTTTTCTCTGTGACCAGAGAAAATATACTGGCTAGCAATTTAACTTGACTTCACCAGTAAACTTCCAACTGATTAAACTCAGTGTGTTCTCCTTCCTTTTTATTTTTATTTTTTTTTTTTCGGAACTGGGGATTGAACTCAGGCCCTTGTGCTTGCCAGGGAAGCGCTTATTCCACTGAGCCATCTCCCCGGCCCCTCTCCTTCCTTATATGTAAATAATATCAAGCATAAGCTTTCCTCTTATTACATGAGAGAATCACTTAGCAGAATGTATCTTGGATTTCATGTATTCAAACAGCTGGTATGTGTTAAGAGGCAGTTCATGCTCATTCATAAGCAAGTAAGGAAATTTCTACAGTGCTTTATTTTTATTTTATTTTTTGGCAGAACAGGAGATTGAACTCAGGCCCTTGCACTTGCCAGGCAAGCGCTTACTCTACTGAGCCATCTCCCTGGTCCCTCTTCAGTGCTTTAATTTACCATGTACTTTAATATGCACTTCCTTTCTGAAACTTTTTGTTCCAGAATACGTTTGTTTGTTTGGTATTTCTGTTGCCTAGCACAATATCTGTCACATTAGAGGTGAGCACAAAAAGGGCTTAAAATGGCCTGTATTTACAGTATAGTTTCTAGTTTATTTTTTATAAATTTTATTTATTTATTGGATACAGGGCCTCACTACACAGTACAGACTCATAGTGATCCTCCTGTCAGCCTCCCCACTGCTAGGATTACAGGTGTGTGCCACCATTCCTGGTTTCAGGGCTGGCACAGTGTGCCTGGGTTCTGGGGCCGGCACAGTATACGGTACCGGGGATCTGCACTTGCCAGGCAGGCATTTATGCCTCTGAGCTATGTCCCCAACCCTATTTTCCAGTTTAAAGACAGTTTTCATGTGTTTATTTTCCGTCACATGGAATTACCAGAGCATTAGAAATGCACTGGTCTCAAATATACAAATTATTTACTAAACACTAATAGTCTAGATAGCATTATACTCTTTTGACAAAGCCTTTTTTATTTATGCTTTTTTATAATCTTCACATCTATAGGGCATAATACAGCAGAATGTAAAGCCATTTATGAACATTGAAATGTACAAATATTTATGTGTTTTATAGTTTATAAAGCACATTCATATATTTTTCCTCAGGTTACCTGGATTTGATTACAAAGAATCACTGCATCCTTAGTGCCTGAACAGGGACAGGCACAATGAAGGAAACTGATATTATTTGAAAAGACAGTCTGGCATTTATATCAGGGGTTCTTAAACTATAGGTAACAAGCCAAACTTACTTGGCTCACAAACTAAATGGCTCTTATCTCTTTAAAAGATTAAGAGACCATGCAACAGAGTTAAGAGACCATGCAACAGAGACCATGTGGCATGGAAAATCTAAAGTATTTATAATTTGACTCCTTACAGCAAAAAGTGTGGCGACCCCTGATAATGCTTCACCAGTTACATTGTAGTTTCAATTATTAGCTGTACTTTACTGCCAATACTATAACAATAAGCATACCATATGTTTTCTCTTGTTATACTGCTTTTGTGCATTTTATCAATCACATCAATGTCTCTCATAAGAATACTGGATGAGTCAAGGAAAAGATTAAACCTGTAATCCTCTATCCCAGGTTCTCTCATTTTCAAGTCTAGAGATGGGTGTTAAACCCAGGAGTAGGTATGGCACAGTGCCTCAAATTATATGGCCACTACTACGAGTAGGGAGTTCAGACCTCACACTGTCCCAAGCCTAATCACCCTTTCAGTAATCATTATTAAGCTCAAAGAAGGGTGGTGAGGCTGGCTGGTGCTTCTCAGAAGGCTGGCACATCTGTCTACTTGCTATTTAATTATTATCATCCTGGGGTATCTCTTCACATTGTCTCTAGATAGCCTGGCATGTTTTTCCCTGAACATGATGCTTCACTCTTTTATCAGCAAGAGCTTCTGGGATATGAAACACTGAAAAATATTTAAATGAATGCTTGCTTTTGAGTGAAGTAGCCAAAGCCTGAATAGATAACAACTGGATTCTGGTGTCCCTCTCAAATTGAATATATATGAACACAAATGGAAATCTACAAAATACTAAATCCTTAATGCATGGCTAAAATTGTGACTAAAAATGAGCTCAAGATTGGTCCATCCATAATATTAATTTAAAGATGTGTTCCTTTAAGGTATATGGCAACAAACATCTCAGAAGCAACCAGATTAAATGGAAATAAGAGAACTCCAAGGGGAGAACTGAAAATGTCCAATAGTAAGAGGTAGAACAATAAAAAGTTCTTGGATTGATAACTCTCATCTTGGTACTTCCCTGGTCTTAAGAGTTTCAGTTCAGAGTCATAGTCCTCCAGTTTCCTGCTTATAGCCTTGAAATATGTTTCTCTTAGCCCTTCTGTCCATGTAGAGAAGCTTGATTTCTGGGTCTCATTGTGTCTGGGGTTTTCTACCCTTGGCTTTAAGGTCTTGGAACTATGCCATTGGGCTTATTCAGTTCTTAGGCCATGTGTTAGGTCCCAATTCTCAAGTTTTTGATGTGTCCTATAGAAACAGCCATCCTTATCCTAGATCTCTGGCCTTCTAACTCAAGACTTGAACCTTTCATCCAACTGAGAACACCTTCCATATATCTTGGGTCTTGAGACTTCTGATGGTCTCAGGTCAGAGACTTTCAGCGATCTTACAACATGGACTTTTCAAGTTGCATCTCCAGTCTCAGGTATCTGTCTTCCATTTTGGCCCTTCGACTGTTTGCTCCTCATAGGCCTTGGGTTTTACTTCGGTCCTGATCCCAAAGACATAGTGCAAGATCATCTTCACAGGACAGCCTCACATGAGGAACAGCTGTGCAGTGCTTCTTTTGATAGCAGAAAGTCTGCATCTATTGGAAAGGGGCTAGGGAGCCCCACTGTCACACACAGTACACACACATACATACACACACAGCCATAAAAACAAAGAAATATCCAAGGGAGGATCACATGAAAGCAAAGAGCAGACATGAGGAGGCCGAAATACTCAAAGGTGAGTAGAAAAGGGAAATGGAAACGGCAGAAAAGTAGCATAAGCAACCAGAGACATTAATGCTGAAATAGAAAGTCACAAGTTGCTGAAACATTAGATATATACAAAGGAGGAAAAAGAGAGCTAGAAAGGAAATGAAGAAAAGAAATAGGTGAAGAAATAGAAATGGCAGAAAAGAGGTCAGAATCAGAAAAGGCTGAAATATCAAACAAAAAAAGAGTAAAGGGTGACAATCACAATTCACAAAAAGAGATAAAGCAAAGTACAAAGAGAAAAAGCAAGGTAGGCACAGTAAGAAAAGTACAAGAAAAACACATAACATGTGACCAAAGAGGACACATAGAGGAATAAGGCAAAGAAAAGCCAGATTCAGGAAAGCAAAGAGAAACAAAATGAGAGAAAAAGAGAGATACATGTAAGCAAGGCACAGACTACACTTAAGAACAAGTGTAGAGAAAATGAGGAAAAGGCACACAAAGGAAATGAGCAAGACTGACGTAGAAATGGGAAGAAGACACACTCACGGTAGAGAAGCACAAAGACATGCAAGGAGCGCACAGACAGAGAAAGACACACCTTTATGACTAAGAGATCAGCAAAGGCAGGCAGAAAATCAGCAAGACACAAGACAGAGGGACACAAGAAACACAAAAAGATGATAAAAAGGAAATAAAAATTGCAGTTAATAACTATAACAAATGATTATTTCTATCAAAACTACTACTACTAATATATAATAACACCAAAAGCAACACAAGTGTTCTACTTGGAAATTTTTAGCTTGAAGATTTCTTTCTTTCTTTTTTTTTTTTTTTTTTCCGGAATCAGGGATTGAACTTAGGCCCTTGTGCTTGCCAGGGAAGTGCTTATTCTACTGAACCATCTCCCTGGCCCACTTGAAGATTTCTTACACAGAACTAAAACATTCCATCTGCCACCAGAGATTGTCAGTGATCACTTGTATTGTGTCAAAGAACTTATGGGTTTCTTTTTATTTGCCACATGTTAGACACTGCACTAAGCACTTTACACTCATGATTCCATTTAACCCTCATTAATATATAAATCAAATTAGAAATTCGAAATGGTCAAAAGTCATATACCTAATGAGTAGCAAAAAAGGATTAAAACACAAAATATATGTTTTGTAACAATCTGCCACAACTATTTACAAGGATTTCCATAAAGGCCAAATGAGATTTCACAGATGAGGGCCCTTATTTAATCCTCCACCCCTTTAGGAAACTTGACTTAGCTTTTATACCCTACGTAATTAAAATGGCCATTTCAGAGTCTAATGTCCTTTTCCCACTAAATCTTAACTGCAAATGGATTCTCTCACAAATGGAAGTGAGAAAGAGCCATACTTTCCATAGAAAGCAAAAAGTATCTTTTAGGCTTTTCAATGCTTAAAATAAGAAAGAGTGGCAGAGACTTAATGCAATGAAGAAACACAGCAGGACAAACAGAGGTCAGCTTTCTCTGTGACTCAACTAGTAGTGGACCACAGGATGTTTGACTTGCTTCAGGAAAGCCAGCTGGTATCAGTTGGCCCTGCTTGGTGTTAGAACACCATATACCAACTCCCAACATACAGCTACAGGACTGCAAATTCAACAACTTACTTCATTCAGCTGTTCTAAAATGTTACAGTGCTAAGCATGGTCTCTTCAGACAGGAAAGGTGGCTTCCTTTGGTGCACTGACATTTCTTGGTCCTGCTGTAGATGCAACAGTTGCATTGCTTTTGTAAAGGATGACTTGAAAGATAGGAAAGGAACAAACAGGAGCTACCAAAAAAAAAAAAAAAAAAAAAAAAAAAGGAAACCATTTAAGTGTTATACACACAGTATTGAGTACTATGCTACAGTTACAAAGATTCCAGTTAGTGAGCTATTAAAAAATGCTTCCATAGAGTATAAAAAAACTATAAAGTTAAAGCTTTTAGGTCTTTAGAGATATAATCAAATTTCCTCAGTCCACAGAAACTATGGTGTAACTGGGGAAAAGTCCATCACTAAAGACCTGATGAGTCACTGGAGGGACTGTCGCCAGTCACAGACTTATAACTTAAATTGAAGACTAGAATCTTGTTTAAAATGCCAACCAGTTAGAAAAGAATCCTTTAAAAGGACTAATAACTGACATTACAAAAAATAAACATAAAAGGAAAAAGACAACAGAGCTGAAGAGTTCAATCCAAGTTAACGTTACTGTTTTTTCTTGGTTTTTGATGCAGGGTCTCACTGTGTGGTTCATGTTGTCCTTTAACTCACTATATAGCCCAGGCTGGCCTTGAACTCAGTGACCCTCCTGCCTCTGCACCCAGAAAGCTAGGACTACAGGTATGCACCAACACACCATGACTAAATTAGATTTAAGCAAATAAATACTGCTCAGAACTACTAAAAAACATGGAGAGCATTTCTAAAATGCTGAGATAAAGGTGAGTTACTGGGAGGAAGTCACTCTCCCAATAAGAAAATCTACATAGGGCAATAGCCTTAACATTCTTCCTAGAAAACTCACCTTAACTTTAAGTTCTTAGGCTTTCAGGGCTTGCCAGTTAGCTCAGCTGTTTAAGTGCCTGCTTGGGCAAACCCAGTCAAGTGCAGGGGACCATGGTTCGATCCCCAGCTCCACGTGCCATACCAGACCTGCCCTTAAGGCAGCCTGAGCCAACCAAGAAAAAAAAAAAAGGACAAAAAAAGTTCTTAGTTCTTAGGCTTTTTAACAAGTTCTTAGTAACTTTCTCAATTTCTAAATCCATGGGTCTTTCTAGCGAATTGAAACATTTTAAAGCCTCTTCCCATGAAAATATCTCATGGAATTTATAGGATATTCATTCTTTGTGAAGAATATTAGGGAATGAATATATGTACAATAAGGATTGACTGGGGCTGGGGAGATAGCTCAGTAGAATAAGCGCTTGCCTGGTAAGCACAAGGGCCTGAGTTCAATCCCAAAAAAAGGACTGACTGCACTGGATAGTTGCATTCATCTCCCATCTTACTTCATCAGCTCCTCCCATCAAGGACCTAGAGAACATAAGGTCCCAGTTCTTTCCACAAAAATCTTTTTTTTTTTTTTCTCTTCTTAGACTCGATTTTAAATGTTTACTACATTTTAAATGTCACTCCTGGGATGGAACCCAGGGACCGGCAAGCGGTAGTCAAGTGCCCCACCCCAGCCTGCTTTATTTTACTTGGAGACAGGGCCTGGCTAAGTTGCTTAAGCTGGCCTCAAAGCCACCATCATCCTGCTTTGGCTTCACAGAGAACTGAGAGCAAACAACAAACTGCCATTGGACCTGGCTAAATTTGAACAACGAAAGCCTTGTAACATTTCGCTTTGCTTATGTAAGTGCCTGGACAAGATCCCCAATCTTGCTTCTTGGCCCGCCTAAAATATTTACAGTCTGGCACATTTGGTGGAGATTTTTGTTTTTGGAACCAGGTATTGAACTCAGGCCCTTGTGCTTGCCAGGCAAGTACTTATTCTACTGAGCTATCTCCCTGGCCCCAGGTGGAGATTTTTATTTAAAAAAAAAGAGATGTGGTGGCCACGCCTCTGATGCCAGCACTCTGGGAGGCTGAGGCAGGAGGATTACAATCATGATTCCCAACTTGATGATTTAGCAAAACCCTGCCTGAAAAATAGAAAACCAAGTGCATATGGAGCTCACTAAGGAAACTCTTGGATCCAATACCCAATAATGGAAAAAACAAACAACAACAACAAAAAACCCCACTAAGCCACATGTGTAACACTTGTATAAAAACTAGCAAAACGTAGCCAACCATAGTGGCAACCTGGGAACCCAACCCAATAGCCCAGTTCTGCCTCCTTCTGCACCCCCACCCTGTGCCCAAGGCCTTAAAGGAACCTCACCTTGGACAACTTTCAATATGCCTGGAGGAAGGAAACAGACCCCGAGGGGACAAGGTCACCCATGAATCTGGATCCCAGGGACAACAAACCACACACTGGCTATCACAGCATTCTTTTTTTGTTTCTTTTTCTTTTTTTGCTCTTTTTGAGACAGGGTCTCACTGCGCAGTTCAGGCTGGCCTTGAGCTCACTTTGTAGCCTAGGCTGGTCTCAAACTCACAATGATCCTCCTGCCTCAGCTTCCCAGTACTGGGATTACAGGCATGTACTTTCATGCCTAGCTCCATAAAAATCTTCAGTTACAAACAATCTCATATATGAAGAAGAGTATAGGTCCTAGTTGTGTAGAACTTACCTGATGATAACTTTGTGCCATGTTTGGCTACGTTTCCACCTGTAGTAATAAGACTTCCATCAATCAGCAAGCATAACATAAAAAGACAATTCTCATTTATATTCTCAGATGATTATGGTTTGCATCCCGTAGACATCATAACGCATCTTAAGTACATAAATGACTGGCAAAGTTCTCCTATATGGAGGGCTTCAAGGGAAACTGGAGACCAGGTAAAACAGAATGATTTGCTCATGAAATCAAATTGATGTGGCAGTTGTCTGTGTTCTCCTAAAAGACAGAACAATTTGAACAATTTAGTCAACCTTCATGACATCCTAGAGATCTACCTCAAGCAGTCTAACTCATGAAGCCTGCCATCTTCTTTACCAATCTCACACTCAGCTGCTTTCAAATTAGGAAGCTATTTTTTTGTTTTCCCTTTTTGGAAAGTATTTTCATCAAAGCAGACACAAGAAAATGATGGCTACAACCTCAGTGCAAAACTAACTGAATGTCTATTATGCTGTTAAGGATAGCTTACCTATCTTGTTGTGTGCTGGTCATCTTTTGGTCTTCATCTTTCTATCTTGAGTCCAGGAATTATTAAAACCTCTGGACCTAGGGTTGCTGCCCAATGATAGTGAGCTTTTCCCCTGGAGGATCCTCATGCCCCATCTCCACCTAGGGATCGTCAAAGGGAATAGGTCACCAGCACTGTAAAGCAACAAGCCTATTCTCCCAAAGAAGATCTGGAAAAGAGAAAAAGAATCAATTAACTAATTTAAAATCAAGTACACTGGCAAATGCTGTCCCAGTGAGTAACTAGCGGTTGAGTTAAATCATTATCCACACTTTTATTTGTATGTATTGAAGGGTAGACACTGATCAAATATATGATACTTAAATTTATGGGCTGAGGCTGGGGTGATGGCTCAGTAGAATAAGCACTTTCCTGGCAAGCTCAAGGGCCTGAGTTCAATCCCCAGTTCCGCCAACTATAAAAAAAAAAAAAAAGTCTTAAATTTGTAAACACTCACAACAGTAAAAGGAACATTACTAATTATTTATTTATTTATTTATTTATTTATTTGGCGGAACCGGGGATTGAACTCAGACCCTTGCATTTGCCAGTCAAGTGCTTATCCTGCTGAGCCATCTCCCCGGCCCCACTAATTTTTTATTAAGTTTATTGATACATTTCAGATACACACAATGATTATATTTGGTTATTAGGAAGGTTACTATTAATCCCCTCAAATTACATGTCATTACTCCATCCTTCCTGACACTTTCTGAAAGTTCTCATTCTTCACTATCTTTACAAAGTGTGACCAAAACTATGGTGAATTCTGATGCTCAGTGCCACCTAACAGAAACGCAGACTTATAAAAAATATGACTATGTATCCTCATCTATTGCCTCATTCACATCATGTGGTACCATACAACTTCCAGTTCTTCCACGAAGTCAAAATGACCACAAAAAGTAAATGTTTAAAATCAGTTCAGGGGGGCCTGCCCCTTAGCTCAGTTCTTTAAGCAGCTGCTTCAACAAAGCAGTCAAGCTCAGGTCGCTGTGGTTCAACCCCCACAATTCAAGCCAGTCAAACCTGCCCTGAAGGCATTCAGAGAAAAAAAAAATCAGTTCAGGATATTTCACAGCACAACTAAAGACACAAAAGATGAAATTCATATATATGTACATATTTACTCTGTTCCTTCTTTTTTTCTTTTTTTGGCAGAACCAGAGATTGAACTCAGGCCCTTCTTATTCTACTGAGCCATCTTCCCGGCCCCTTTGTTTTGTTTTGAAATGAGACCTCACTGTGTAGCCAGTGCTGGCCTCAAACTCACAGAGATCCTTCTACTTCAGCCTCCCAAGTGCTGAGATCACAGGCGTATACCACCATGCCCCAGGAACACTTTTTAAATTAATGGCTCCAAATGCACTCATTTATAGACTATTTACTTATGATATCTAAAAGGAAACAAATATACTCTTCCCCCCAACATTCTGACTTCTTCAATGTTATACAAGTTGTAGGTTACTATGATTTTTCCATCTAACCTACCTTGTTATTTTTATTAGGTTGTGGAGGGAATATGGCTTCATTCATGTTGGTGTCAGCCTGCTAGTGTTTATCTGTTGCTGTGAAAATGACATACTCAAAGAGCATGCCCTTTCCCCTTAGAGGTACATCTGACTCCAGAGAAAGTGGCTGCATTCTGGAAGTGATACAGAACTACAAATCTAGTGTTCAATAATATTCATCGACAAGAGTTTGAGATTCTTTTTTTTTTTTTTTTTGGTGGAACTGGGGATTGAACTCAAGCCCTTGAGCTTGTCAGGGAAGTGCTTATTCTACTGAGCCATCTCCCTGGCTCCGAGTTTGAGATTCTGATGTCATCTTCTTTTACGCTCCAAGAACTTCTTAATGAGTTTGTTCTACTCATTAAGGTTTATACATAAACATAATGGTTTGTTCATTTCCACCATTCTCCATGAGGATTTTTTTTTTGGTGGTCTCAAGATGCCTTCAGGGCAGGTCTAGTTTGGCTTGAGGATCTGGGAATTGAACCACAGCATCCTGAGCCTCACTGCTTTGTTTAAGGAGGCACTTAAACAATTGAGCTAATGGGCAAGTCCCCCCCACCCATTCTCCATGAGAAAGCAAATTCCTTGGCAGCAATGTCTTTGGCTTTGTTACTTATTCTAATGTATGGCACATCATTTGAATTAAAACAAGATCTATCTCAAACTGCCCACATTTCTACAGCATACCTTTTGAAACAATTACCAGAGATTTTTCTTTCTTTCTTTTTTTTTCATGGGCAGAACCATAGATTGAACTCAGGCCCTTGTGCTTGCCAGGGAAGTGCTTATTCCACTGAGCCATCTCCCCGGCCCCCAGAGATTTTTCTCAATTACAGAGATTATTTCAAGCAATAAATTAAAGTACAATTACAAGATTCACCTTTGGATGCTATCTAGCAGTCATCATTCCTCCTAAAATCAAGTCATCCTTCTTCTTGAGTCAGGGTGCAGAAACCAGCTCCACATTCATCCTTTTAAAACAAATTCCAAAAAAAATTTAAATAAATAAGACAAATTTTAATGGTAGTTATAGGTGTATATTGATATTGAATGATAATCTGATTAATAGCAATGAAACATTTTAATAAACATAGATCACTTTTTCTCAAATTGGGGTGATAAAAATTCTGGGTATTTGTAAATATATTTTCTTTCTTTCTTTCTTCTTTTTGCAGAACAGGGGACTGAACTCAGGCTCTTGCGCTTGCCAGGGAAGTGTTTATTCTACTGAGCCATCTCCTTGGCCCTGTGGATATAGTTTTTTTTTGTGTGTGTGAACCAGGGATTGAACTCAGGCCTTTGTGCTTGCCAGGCAAGAGCTTATTCTACTGAGCCATCTCTCCGGCCAAGACATGTCTTTGACAATAATAACTAAAAATTGTGTTAACTTTTCAAGTAACTTTCTTCAGTCAGCAATCCACAAAATCTATTCTTTAAGACCTCAGAAAATTTTGTTTCTTTAAAAGGTGTTTCATTCTGAAAAACACAGCAAGAGCTATAGCAATAATGCCACAGAACAATTTCCAAAAGGATTCAAGATATATGTATGTAGATACATACACAGAGAAAGACCAAAAAACTTGTATATCATTCTTTCAAGACAATACTTTTTTTTTTCAAGATAATACTTGATCACCATATCCTAAAGTTATTTCAAGTGAGTTTATATTAGCTCCTAAACAATACAACCATCCCAGGGATGAAGTTATATAAGATATTATTTCTAACCCTCATTTCAGGGTCATCTAGCATAGCTCTGGGTACAAGGTACACAATATTTAAGTGTACAAATCTGCTGGTTAACACAATATATATTACTTATGTATATATTGCAAAGGATTTGAGAGGAGGCAAAAACACTAAAAACTTCTGACTTTTCTATGGGTACTATCTAAGAAAAAGAAAGAAAACAGAACAGGGAAAAGATTAGTTAATAGTTACAAAATAGTACTTACAATATTCTAAAATGCCAGCACTCTTCTTATAGCTGTCCAAAGAGCTAGTGTGCAAATTCCACTGTGAGCTGGGCAGATCTTCTGACGTCTTTCTTGAAGAATAGTACCCTTTCTCAATGACTACGAAGAATGGCTGCTGTGACAACTAGGCACTTCATTCAGCTGTTCCATACTAAAAACTGAGTTGCCACCAAACACCTTATAGCAGTAACAGCGAATCTTTGAAATCTTTCAATGATAAAAAACAGCAGGCTGGGGCAAGTGTGCCGCAAGTTTGCCATCACTGTCTCCTATTCTTTTATTTTTATTTTTTCATATACTTTTAGAAGTTGTTTTTTTTTGTTTTTTTTCTAAGCATCTATTATACTTGCTTAAAGTGTATGCTTAGAAGAATGACTGGATCTCATTGTTCTTAAAATGGAGGAGCAGGTCGGTCTCATCATTTTAGAGTAAGCCTTTAGTGTGGTTCTTCAAACTACTTCAAAATATTAGCAGAATGCAGTGGTGCATTTTATATAATAGATTAATCAAATAAGGTGGCTTGTAGTTTTCAAAAGCACCTCAGCATGTGTTCTCTCCTTTAATCCATCTTCCTGAATTAAGTAAAGGCTAGTGCTTAGGATAAAGAAATTTAAGTATGAAAAGGTTTTAAGTGATTTTCCTAAAAGTGAAACATGATAAAACCCAAACAAAAACTGGTTCTTACATTGTACTACAGGTGCAACAAAGACTCCAGTGTTAAGAGTTCCATACTAGAACTCTTTTGGCAATACAGTACTAATTTAACAAGACTCCGTGATCTATCCCAGTAAAACAACAAATTGATCACCAGATATATAATATAAGAGGAATTATTTTTTTGGCTTCAACAAAAGCTAGTGACCAGGTGATCAATACCACCTCTTATTCCAAATTTCTTTCTTTAAAAATAATAATAATAACAAAAACAAGACCTACTTTTCCAGTTATAACCTGGCCACTGGCACTATACAACAGCAACATACAAAAGACAGCACATGAGACCCTTAGCCAGGCAATATGCTCTGAGAGGAAAAATGTTCCTCTAATTTTTCACTAATTTTCCTTCTTAGGGAGAATTCTTTTTCTTTTTCTTTTTCTTTTCTTTTCTTTTTTTTTTTTTTTTTGGTGGAACCTGAGATTGAACTCAGGCCCTTGCACTTGCCAGGAAAGTGCTTATTCTACTAAGCCATCTCCCCGGCTCCAGAATTTTTCAACTGATTTTCCAAAAATTTTTCAATTGTACACTGAAAGCCCCAGCTAAAAGGTGGCAATCCAGATCTTTGAGCCTCACTTGCCTTGAATATTTTCCACAATAAAACAGTAACAGTGGTGGGAATTCTTATCCCCACAATATGCCAATAATTGGAACTGAGATAATTAATAAATGGAAGAAAAAGAGTGAAGGCTCAACCACCTAGTTCAGGCCTGCTTTTGATAATTAACACTGCACCAATACATCAAAGTGATAGGGAGATCTGGGACTGATGGAGAAAAACATGGGATAATGCATATTCTGTTCATTAATAGCACACAAGTGGCTTTGAGTACCCAGAAATAATGTAAGGGAAGTGGAGAACTGCATGTATAATGGGCAGGACCAAGGAACATACAACTGAGATGCAACAACCATAAAGAGTGGGTAAACTTTGGGATTGTTAAACTTTTAAGTCAAGAGAAAGGTCCTTGCCCAGTCAACACTATCCAGCAAAGAAATAAAAAGGGCAGGGCAGGGGGAGGGGACAGGAACACAATCATATCTCATGGGCAGATTATGAGCATTAATAGTCCATAAAGGACACAAGGCAGATGAGGGAAAGGTGAGATGGGAGACCTTGATAAATGGTGAGGCCATGGCTACCTGGGATTTTACATACTGAAACAATGACAAAGCCATGAAAGTATGAGTGACTGTCTGATGCACAAGTACATGGCAATATTTGTACTTTATTAATGCCATTTGAAACCAGGGGAGGATTATTTAATAGGGCCAGGAAAAAAAAATCATATATAATTGCCATTGCACCTACTCACAGTCCCAGATAATTTTAGGAGAAAAGAATAACATTAATAATTGTCATTGTGCTTATTATCAGTCTCAAGAAATATTATGGGTGGTCAGCAGCTCCTATAGTAAGGTTGTAAAAGGGGTATGAGGACATAGCACCATAGGCATGCATAATTACAAATATTCACACTAGCAACCCAAAGGGCCTTAATTGGTCAACACCTCTCATGTCTGCAGAGTATGCAGTATGCTATCTACTGATCAGTGCTCCAGATAATTTTAACTGCTTATTGTTGTACATTAATTATTCAACAGCAGCTGTTATAAATAGCACTCCTCAGTAGTGGTCAAGAGGCAGTGGTAGTAACATAATGTCCTTCTTTTACTACACAAGTCCACAGACAAAGACAATTAAGCATGTTACCACTCACATGAGAAGGCTCATTCATCATTAATATGCCCCTAATGCAAAGGGCATATAAGGAGATAAAGTTCTAGTCCAAACAAGTGAGGGACAATTACGCCAATAATGCACACTGAAGCCCAAATGAAAGGATACTGGGTGAAAGCATTTCTGCCTTAAAGCAAGGAGGGTACAGGAGTTCTGAAAACACATGCTTAGAAAATTTTGTTTGATTTTATGAAGTTTTCAAGTGGAAGAGTCTTGAGTACTGGGCACTTTATGCTGAAAATACTAAGAAAATAGGTGGGCTCCTTTTCTAGTGCACAAAACAGTAATCAATGCAATTGTACATATTAGCAGCCCAAAATCAGACTTTGGTTGTCAACACTCTTCTGCAGACCAAATGAAATGTGAGGGGGTATGACCTTAGTCCTCTGACAAAGACAAAAGAAAATTTCAATTATATATATTGAAATATATATATATTATAAGAAGGTACAGTGGTCTAGAAATAGCAGAGCTATGGACAACTACAATAATGCACATGACCTGTCCAAATTTAAAGGTCTTAAGCAATAAGCGCCACTTCTCATTAAAAAGCAGAAGTTAGAGATGGGGTGTTCTTGTCTAGAGCACAACCCAGACTAATGAAATTCCGCAAGTAACAGGTCACAAAAAAGGGACATAGAAACTGGTATGCTGCAAATGCAAAGTAAAAGGGGACAACTAGTTAAATAGAATGAATGAACCATGTCCCAATGATATACAATACTGACCCAGAGGCACAGATGTGAACAAATAAAGCTACATACTTTGTACAAGTATAAAGATCTTACAGCAGTGGGCACTATCATTTGAAAAATAAAGGGGGAGGGGTGGATAGGGCACTCTTATCTAGTAATTAAGAACATGAAGAAGCCAAGAAGAGGCTTTAGGGATCAGCATTCCTGCTCTACTGCAAAAGGGCTTGAGAGTACTCAAATGAAATGAGCCACACGCAGTTATGAACATTAACGTCCTAAATGCATGGTTGCGGCCATTACAGCTATGTGTCTGGACTATTTATTTTTTTCTTTTCAGAACCGGGGATTGAACTCAGGCCCTTGCACTTGCCAGGGAAGCACTTATTCCACTGAGCCATCTCCCCGGCCCCTGTCTGGACTATTTAAATCTAAGGGTCTTATGGAGTCTTCATCCTGCTGGAAGGCAAAGGAAGCAGAGCAGCGGGATGGCAGTGTAGTACACAGAAACCTGGACAAATATAATCATTAACATAATATGCTAAATATGTATGGACAACTGCATTAATGAACCCCTGCTTTACTATAAAAGGGGTTTAGAAAGTTTTTGTTTAAGTGAGATTAGCCACGAGCAATTATGCACATTAATGCCCAAGGTGTATGACTGTAGTCATTAGAGTTGTGTACTTTGATGGTTTAAGTATGTTCTTCTGGAGCGCTCATCTCTGAAGATGGAAGACAACGACCAGGGCAGAGGTTTCCTTGTACATTACACAACATCCTGGACAAGTATAAAGGCCCACACAAGCCAAGAATAGAGGAATTGGTGATCAACACCTCTGCTGTGTGGCAAATGGGCCTATCTCAGGGCAGCATTTTACTCAAATGGGATGAACCAAGTGCAGTTATGCACAATAGTACCAAAGGTTCATGACTGCAATCATTATAACTGGCCATCTTTATTGTTCAAGTATAAGGGTCTTATGGAGTGGAAGGTCCCACCTAGAAGGGAAAAGGGTAGGAGACTGCAGGGCAAGTTTAAGAGGATTCCTTGTCTAATACACAGGAATTCAAACAAACGTAAATGCCCACAAAATAGGTCACCAGTACGAGCCTTAATAATCAGCACCCCTGTAGTATTGTAAAAGCAGCTAAGAGTAGGACCTTTCTACACAGGAATTCAAACAAAGACAATGAAAATATTATAGATTAAGATTAGGACCCTAGTGATTAATACCTCAGTTATATTGCAGAAGAGATGGGGAATAAGATCTTACTCAAATAAAGCAGGTCCAGTTATGTGCATTAGAACTCAAGGTGCATGGTTTGGATCATTATAATTGTGCACCTTGATGAGTCAAGTATAAAGGCTTTATTTTATTTATTTTTTTGGCAGTACTGGGGATTGAACTCGGGCTCTTGCACTTGCCAGGGAAGCGCTTATTCCACTGAGCCATCTCCCCAGCCTACAAAGGCTTTATGAGTGGGGCAGTCCCAGTTAGAAAGAAAACGAAGATGGACAGGAAAGGACAAGGCAGATTTGAGGGGTGGGGAGGTCCCTTGTCTAGTACACAGGAACTCTCAATCACCCTTCTAACAGGTCAGGAGTAGAGACCTTAGGGATCAGTACTACTGCCATACTGCCAAAAGGGCTGAGAATATCTTATTCCAGTGAGATGAACCATGTGCTGTTATGTACATTAGCATTCAAGATCCATGGTTTGGGTCCTTATAGTTGTGCCCCTTGATGGGTCAAACTTTAATGGTCTTAGGGATGGGCAGTCCTTATTGGGAAGGGAAGGAGGTTTGAGGAGAGAGCAGAGAGGGATTGTGGGGAAAGGTTCCTGCTCTATTACCCAGGAACTCAGACAAACACAATGACCCATACACTAGGCCAAGATTAGGACCTTAGTGATCTGTACCTCTGCTGTACTGCAAAAGAGGTAGAGAATAGGATCTTATTCCAATTATATAAGGAATGTCCAGTTATGCACATTACTATTCAAGGTACACAGTTTGAGTCATTACAATTGTGCACTTTGATGAGTCCAGTGCAAAGGTTTTGTGCGTGGACACTCCCTGTTAGAAAGAAAATTAAGATATAGATAGGGGAAGGTAAGGAATGGTTGGGGGTAGAGAGGTTCCTTGTCTAGTACATAGGAACTCACA